GCCTACACGGGACTGACCTAGGCCCTTTACATATATGATCCAGTTGTGTAACTTGGTCTTCATGTGAGACTCCTAACAGTGAGAGCAGGGCTGTCTATGACTGTGTTGCCTGCTTTTGGGATCCACATCTCCTACCAGACTGCTTCATTCAGCCTTAATAGGAGAGGAAGTGCCCAGTCTTACTGCAACTTGATATCTTGATATGCCATAGGTGGCCTGCCTGTATCAGAAGAGAAACAGTGGAAGAGAGGTAGATGGGGGCGGACTGAGAGGAGGGTAAACTTTGATTGGGATATAAAAAAAAAACCAAAAAAACAAAACAAAAAAAAGAGGCCGGGCGGTGGTGGCGCACGCCTTTAATCCCAGCACTTGGGAGGCAGAGGCAGGCGGATCTCTGTGAGTTCGAGGCCAGCCTGGTCTACATGAGCTAGTTCCAGGACAGCCTCCAAAGCCACAGAGAAACCCTGTCTCGAAAAACCAAAAAAAAAAAAAAAACAAAAACAAAAACAAAAAACCAAAAAAAAAAAAAAAGAAAAAAAGAAAAAAGAAAAAAGAAAAGGAGAGGGGATGAACATTATTAAAGTACATTGTATGAAATTCTTGAAAAATTAATAAAATATTATGTTAAAATAATATGAGAGGCTGACCTGAGCTAGTGAGAGATCACTGACTCTTATCTGGACAAATGGGGCTACTACATAAGCCTTAACCTATAGGTGACAATGGTGCGGTTGGGACAATATATGAGGTCACTGGCAGTGGGTCCAAAATCTAACTCTAATGCACAAACTGATTTAGTGGAGCCCATTCTACATGGAGAGATACTTTGCTCAGCCTAGACACAGGGATGTGGGGGGTGGAGAGGTGCCTTGGTTCTGTCTCAATGAGATGACAGGACAGACTTAGTAGACTTTCTTAGGGAGGCCTTACTCTCTCCAAAGAGCAAATGAGAGGTGGGGAGGGGAGTGGGGGGAGCAGAGGAGTGAGGGGGAATGGAAGTTGGAATGTAATAATAAATAAATAAATAATAGTAATATTAAAAAACAAAAATAATAATAGGAGAGGTTGAAATGTCAGGGTGTTTCTCTGTCCTTGTCTGGCTTGAACAAGGTAGGGGAGGGGAGGATAGGGGATAGACTACTCATATCCTAACAGTTAAAGCAAGCAAACAAACAACAACAACAAAAACAACAAAACCACCAACCAAAAACAAAAAGCCTAAGAGACATGATACACAGATATGTTTAGGAAATGGAAGGATCTTGTATGGAGTGTTTGCAAAGAAACATGGGCCTCTCTAGACATCATATCTCTGTATCTGAAACAAAACAAACCATGATTTTATCTTCTAACCTTTCTCAACAAAAGGAGATCTAAAAGGTAGGCATGGTTGTGCATGCTTGTAATCTCAGAACTTAGGAAACTGAAACAAGAGGATTGCTACAAGTTACTAGCCAGCATGGGCTATACAGCCAGACTCTGTCCAAAGAAAGAGAAAAATGGCCCAAGGGGGAGGAGAAGGGGTTGTACTAAGGAGTAAGGTACCATCCACATTTGGATACTTGAGTAGTTTATTGTATGGTTTGCTCCTCTCTGGAAACCAAAGCAAGGCCGTATTCTGCTTACTCCATTACTAATAGAACTTATTCTCTTAAGTGCTAATAAAAGTCAACTTTGGTTCCAGCTCAGAGGTTAACAGCACATATTATTAAGTATGCAATATGTTGATATAAACTAATGACAGAAATTATCTGGATATAAGGTTAAATGCATAAGGCATGAATTTAGACCCTAATATTGTTCACTCACTAACTCTATGATATTGCACAAGCCAATGCTTGTCATTGGACATCATCGTCCCTTTCTGATGATGTGGGATGCCCTTCTGTATGCTGTGAATATGTTTTATTGCCATTTGTTTACAAAGAAGCTAATTTGGTCAATAGCCAGGCAGAATAGAGGCAGGGTCGAGAGAAGACACCAGTAGCCACCAGGGAAGCAAGATGTGAGGTAACAAGCCACAAGCTCTGCAATAAAATAGAGCATAATAGAAATGGATTAATTTAAGTCATAAGAGCTAGTTAATAGCCGGGCGTTGGTGGCGCACGCCTTTAATCCCAGCACTCGGGAGACAGAGGCAGGCGGATCTCTGTGAGTTCGAGGCCACCCTGGTCTACCGAGCGAGTTCCAGGACAGCCTCCAAAACAGTGCAGAGAAACCCTGTCTCAAAAAAACCAAAAAAAAAAAAAAAAAAAAAAAAGAGCTAGTTAATAATAAGCCTGAGTTAATAGGCCAAACAGTTTGTAATTAATATTATAGGCCTCTGAGTGGTTATTCAGGAACTGGCAGGTGGGAGAGAAATGTCTGGTTACACTGTTTAGTGGAGTAAATATAACTGTTGACATGAAATTACATATGATGATGTGGAAAACATCCTAAATGCATGAGGCATGCATTGCTGTATTGCAATTACTGATTTTAGTTCTATGTAATTTTTTCTTTCCTGTTTTCTGTTCTCTGCTGATTTTCCTCATCTTTAAACGTTTTTAAATAAGTTTGTGCATGCATGTGTGAATGCATATGCCATGACATACTTGTGAAGGAGATCAGAGGACAGCTTTCAGGAGGCAAGTGTTTCCTCCTACCATGTGGCCCCAAGCAGTCAAATACAGGTCATCAGGTTTGGTCACAAGCACCTTTACCTGCTGAGACATCTGGTTCTTCCTCCTCTTTTTATTTCTATCAAATCTGATGCTTTTTTTTTCTATTTCCTCTCTTCTCTAGCTTTTTTATGCCTTTAAATAAGTCCACCTCTTTCTCTGAGTATCAGGAACTACATCTAGGGAACAGAATCCCATACCTTCAGAAAAGGGCACACTATGTAGTACCTGTATTCCAATATGATGAGCTATTCTTCATACAAGAAGGGAATCATGTTGCAGACATGCTCCATCTGTCAGCTGTCCGTTGCTGTAACCATGGTGGCAGTAGGTGGCAAAAATACTCAACTCATGGAAGGGACTTGAAAGAAGCTAGAGTTCCTGTGTGCCCTTTAAGATTACCCTCCCCAATGACTGAGTGAACTCTGTCTACCTCTGAAAATTTCTACAACTTCTCCAACACACTATGAATTGGGGACCATACCTTTAAAATGTGAGCTTTAAAGGATATTTAGGTAAATCACAACAAATGCAAACTTGCAATTGTAAAAAAAGGACACCAAGACTAATGGTGCATACAAAACAGACCCCAATTAGGAAAATGTCCAAGATGAGACAAGGCCCCAAGCCTCTGGTAATTATACGGGTTTTAAAGGGAGCTGGTACCTACTTCAGGTAGTTAGGGAGACCTCACCTTTTGTACCCTTCCCCCATGGGAGTCTGTTGACCTGCTTGTGACTAGGAGCTTCTAGCAAAACTCCTCTGTTCCCTCCTCCCAGTAAGGCCTACATGCAAGTTCCTGTTTTCTGTCCATCCTTATTGTCTTAATGCTAATTTCCTTTTTTTTTTTTTTTTTTTTTTTGCCCACCCTTTGCTGGAGGGCCCTGGGAACACAGGCTTCTGACCTTGGTGGTTTTTCCACCATACCTGCCTTTGGTATATAAAGCTCCACCCTTGTTAAAATAACTGCCATTCTCCTTGTAAGAATGAGCCACTGTCTTTGTATTCATTTACATCCTTAGCCCTTTCCCTTGGATCATTGTGAAGTGTTGTAGCCCCATAGCTTCGTACACTGGTAGCCTGCTATACTCACTAAGGTAATGGGGTTTGTGTGTATCACGTAAGGTTTACTCTAAAAAAAAGAGTAGTTTCCCAGTGACAGGCTGGGAAACTTAAGTCTCAGGATATTGCATACTGTATTTGTTACTTTTATTGCTGATATAACCAAATACCTAACAATAAACTGTCACGCGATACTTTTTTTGTTTTGTTTTTCAAGACAGGGTTTCTCTGTATTGTTTTGGAGCCTATCATGGAACTCACTCTGTAAAACAGGCTGGTCTCGAACTCACAGAGATCCACCTGCCTCTGCCTCGAGTGCTGGGATTAAAGGCGTGTGCCATCGATGCTTTTTGTATACTGTAAAGATGTGTCTCTGCCTACGGCACATTCTGATTAGTTAAATAAAGAGTTGAATGGCCAATAGCTAGGTAGGAGAGAATAGGCTGGACCTCCAGGCAGAGAGAGTAAGTACCTCAGAATCAAGGTGCACAGGAAATGCCAGCAAGACATGGAGGAGTCAGACAAACAGAATGGAGAGGCAAATGGTTCTAGGGATGTATAGCAAACTACACAGACAGGACTATGTGAATAAGACATACAAAATGGTGTATTTATAGTTAAAATAGAAAATCATAAGAATGCTAAGTGATTTCCTCATTTGTTCTTTACTCAGATAGTGTTCCAACTTCTGAGGATAATCTTATCTAGCTCTATAGAACTGGTGCACTTGAAGTCTTATTCTTGGCCAGGCATTGGTGGCACACGCTTTTAATTCCAGCACTCGGGAGGCAGAGGCAGGCGGATCACTGTGAGTTCGAGGCCAGCCTGGTCTACAGAGCAAGTTCCAGGACAGCTTCTAAAATAATACAGAGAAACCCTGTCTCAAAAAAAAAAGTCTGATTCTGTATTCTAAGATAGGTAGAAAGATCAGGATGGGATAAATAAAGCATAAACAAGTGTTTTTAAGTAGAGGCAAAGCTTTACTGAAACAGCAGAGAAAAGAAGGGGAAACATACTGAGACAGTACTTGAGGGAGGGAAAGGAGAAATCTGTTAAGACCTTTTCAGTTCAGTAAGCCATTTTTTTTCTTCCTTTTCTTCAGTCACCTTTTTTCCAACTACCACAGCACACAGGAGTGAACTTATTGCCAGACCTAGATTCATGTGGCCAGAATTGTCACTGGTTTGTGAAACCATGGGCAATGTCTTTGTTAAGTATTAGATCCCTGGTTGCTGGGTTCCTCTGCAGCTCATAAGCAATAAGCCAAATCAGACCGAGTTAATAAATCCAGATTTAATAAACAGGGCAATACAAAGCAGAGCACTCCCCGGTGGGGCTCGGAAAGCAGGGGAGAGACAGAACACCACGGCACACGTGGCAGATCTATGGTCTGGGTCTTAAATAGTCGGTAGGGTGGTCCCTGGCATCTGCATAGGAGAGCTGCTGATCGCAGGCTTTCTGGAATGAAGCAGGGTTTGGGGAGAGAGAGATGGGGGAGGGAGATTAAGGAGGAGTTTCCAGCAGAACAGTTTAATTTTCTAACATTGTTTACAGACATTGTGATGAGCCAGGCACTCCTATATGCACTTCAAATATATAAATTTAGTTCTCCTTAAATTCTTAAGTAGGGATACCCTCTCCCACCCCTAGTTTTATAGAAGAGAATATACTTTGGTCGGACACGAAGTCCTGTAGCTTTCCTAGGTAAGTACAACAAGGGTTTTGTGAAACAACCTAATTTTCATCTCGGGGAGTCTTGTTTTCCTGCTCACCTTGCATTGTTAATATCAAATGCTAAGATTAGAACTACACAGATTCGCTCTTACCTCCTTCTACCCATTTTGAACATTTGAGTCCTTTTAGCTGTTGTCATGAATTGGTGGTGGAGGTACAAAGGTGAATATAGTACATCTTCTGTTTACTGTCCTGAAGTTTGTGGCTATTAACACATCATTCACAGGTTCTCAGCCTTGCCCTCGGTTCTCCTATTTTTCCATCAGTCCTAAAGCCACAGTTGAGAGCTGCTTCCACTAAGTGGGAAAAGTCTACTGGAGGGCTTAGACGAGGAAAGATGAAGTGTAGGGGCGAGACCTACTGGCTTTTCTCTGGGCAGTGACCTCATTCAAGGCCCTTTCTTCCCGTCTGAGGTTCTTCGGCTTAAAATGGCGGGATTCGTGCTAAGGCTCTTTCCCTACTAGACGGCCATGATGGCTCGCCCTTCCCCCACCAGGCTCATCTGGCCGCCCTGGGACTGTTGTTCCCGAGCTAAGGGGTCTGGCCTTCTTCTGGCATCTCCAGTTCTCCATGGCCAACCTCACACCCTCACACCAACGCTCCGCGCCGGGGCGTGACAAGGGGCTGCCATGTCTCCAGACCTCAGCCACAGCGCGGAGGAGGCTCGGCTAGCAGGGCTCAGGCGCCCGGGCCAAGCAAACCCAGAGGCGGCGAAGGCGGCTGGGCGCTCGCAGCGCTCACAGTCACCCGGGTCGGAGAGCTTAGGCTCGACCCGACCAGGCAGGTCAGCTGCCCGCACCTCAAGTCCCGCAGGAGCACCCGCCTTGAGGAGAAGAAACGGTCCGGGTTCTCCACAGCCCTGGGGGAGGGACGAGCACGCCGACGGGAGGCGGAGGCCGTACGCCTCAGCGCGCGCGGGTCACGTGGGCCGCAGCACCGCACGGCGGCGGCCCGCGCGCTCCCGCGTCACGGCCCGCGGAGCTGCCCGGGCGCGCGCGCCGACGGGGCGGGCGCATGCGCAGGGGGGCGCGCCGCCTCTGCCCCGCGGCGAGGGTGTCTATGGAGAGGCGGCGGCCGCGGCTGCTGGGGCGGACGCTGAGGCAGTGGCGATGGCTCCCTTCCCCGATGAAGTGGACGTCTTCACCGCTCCGCACTGGCGGATGAAGCAGCTGGTGGGGCGCTACTGCGACAAGGTAACGGAGCGCGGGGCAGAGGGCGGCGCGGAGGAGCGGGCGGGTTCCGGGCGGCCTGGCCTGCGCGCCTCCCGCTACCCCCGCGTTGGCGCCGCGCGTTCAGCCGCCCGCGCCCCGTCAGCCGCGCGCCCCCCGCACCTTCCCGCCGGGGCCCCGGGAAGCCCGCGCCGGCCGCGGCCTGGGACGTGCCCACGGGGCGCGCGGCGCCTGCCCAGCGTCCTGCTCGCGGGTCTGGCCTTGTGCGGGGCGGGGGGCGGTGAGGGGCGCTCCCGGCCGCCCGGAGCCGTCGCCGCTGTCCCTTTAGGGTTGGGGAGACCCGGGTCGGTCGCCCACGGGGGCTCCCGGTCCGCAGGCCGCTCCTGCGGTTGCTCGCCACCGCGGGACTGCCCGCCCGGCCCCTGCGGGCTCTTGGAGTTGCGTTGCAAACACAGCGTCCCCCGTCTGGATCTGTGACTTGCTTCCCGGCTCCACGGGCTGCGTCTGGCAGCCACCGGAGCGGGCTTCTTTTCCCTGCCAGTGTCGCTCTGGCTTGGTTCAGCACGCAAGCCCGGTGCAGGGGCCGGGGAAGACCTGCGGGTTACATTTCTGCTTATCTTTTTCCCTTCCAGCGTTTATTTTCCCCGAATATCTAGTCCTTGTAGATTTTGTAGATTTTGGTTTTAAGACAGCTAGCTGTGCCTCTGTTGGACTTTTTACTGACATCAAGTGATACGGTGGCCTTAGGAAAAGTTGGTTTGCTGTGGAACTAGTTTTGGACTTTAATTGATTTCGCCTAAATTGAATTACTTTTGTGGAGATGGGTCGAAGGCCTTTTTTCTTAAAATCCCCATTTGTCAGTTTATGTTTGGAAGGTCATATGTGTGTAAACTGAGCAAGTCATGTGTTTGGTAAGAATGAACCAAATAGGTAGCTGTTAAGTAATTATTACTTAAACATACATATAAATTTGAATTTTCAGAAATTACACAGAATTAGCACCACTGTAAACAGCAAGTAAGAGTTGTCCTACAACCCAGAGAGCCCGGTGTCTTCACTGGTAGGTCACAGAAAGACCGGCAATTTGAAGTTTCAGATCTTAGCATTCCTGCCGCACAACCATTTCTCTCCATTTTGGGAAAAGAAAAAACAAAACAAAACAAACCCCGTCCAAATCAGGTTTACCTTAAACACACTGTTAAGGATCATGGTTCTCCACTTGGTTGCTTATTAATTAACCACAAAGCTCTTTAAAAGCCGACCCCATTCATATTGTAATGTCTGAACATGGAACCCAGATATGAAGTATAATTTTGAGCTCTCAGGTGAGAGTAGTGTACAGCGAGGGCGATTATCTCTTACCCCGGGGAAGTTTAAGGACTGGCTAAGCCTTGAGCAGAAGAGTATAATCTTGCATTTTTTAGTTAATGGTTTTGTTTTTCTAATCTCCACCTTTTGGATTTATTTTTTCCCTCACACTATGCTTTAATTTCAGGCAAGGAAAAACTTTTTTCCCCACATTTCTTAAAAAGCAAAAGGTGAATTTAGTGAGGACTGATTAAATCCAAGTGTTTCTTTGGTTTTGTCAAGAGGGAGTCCAGAGACCCTCTGGTGATAATGGAAAAAGTTGTCAATTTGTTCACTTCCCTAGGAGCTTTCTGGTATTTAAGATGTTTCAGATTGCCCAAGAATTATGACCATCCCAAATAATCAAAGTTTATAATGTACTACTGAGTCTCTTTAAAGACAATATTCTTTTGTTTTGCTACTGTTTTTGACACAGTTTCCTCCCCTAGTTCAGGCTGGCCTTGAGAACTCACTACATTGCACAGACTGGCCTTGAACTTCTGAGCTTCCTGCTTCTACCTTCCAGGTTCAGGAATTACAGGCATTTGTCATCCCACCGGGCACAGTCATTATTTTTGTGTCTCTTGGTGTTTGAGAACATTTAAGCAAAATTTGAAAATGCAGTTGACCTAAAGAAAATGAACCAAATAAGATTCTTCTCAGTAGTTAAGTGTTCCCTCTTGCATAACCAGTTTAATAGAGCATTTTTAATTTGGTATTGCTTTAGTCCAAATTGGCTCTGATTTGTTCCCAGCATTGTATAAAAATCATTAATTCTGAATTAATTGCATGTAGTTGATGGAATTATTGCTTATATTCCTCAAGAATGCTAAAAATGTCAGTTTTCTTAACTATGACCAAGGTAGTTCAGTGAAGAAAAAAGAACTGCACAGTAATGTCCATCATTTCTTCTAGTTACCAATGACCAGTGGAAGGTTCTCTGGATTTCCTTTGTGAGCAAAAGTGGGAAAATAACTTTTTTGAATGTAGGCTAGCCTTAAAGAATTTTAAAGAGTTGTTTGGTTAGTTTGTCACTTCAAGTTTTGTCATCGTCATCTTTCTTTGAGTTGTATAGATCAAGGATATCTGATCCAAATAACCTGCAGTAAAACTGCAAAATGAGAACTAGTCTTTGGTTAAAGCTAAAAAGTACAAAGTTTGTTATTTTACTGTATTCTTAATATTGCCTAAGAATCTGAGAACTATAAAGATTTCAATTTTATTCCCAGTATTGAACTTGTAAAACATAGTATATTCACAAAATGATTTTTTTAGGAGCATCAAATCAGTTTTTCTATGCTTTGAGTAATTTACTTAGAGCGAATTATTAAGTTGTTACAGATTATGTTAAATATTTTCATATAATAGTCTAATGTGATGCCTGTGGATTTTCTTTATAAAAAAAAGTCATCCAGACAAAACGCAAGCTTTGGGAAGGGGAAAGTGGATGCAAAGCCCCCCCCCCCAACCTAGAAGCTATTTGCAACTGATTATTCCTGGTTTTCTCTAATGGATTGACTCTGGGTATATCTACTACACTCTTTTTGTTAGTTGACAACCACAAAACAGACACACACTCTCTCTCTCTCTATATATATATGTATGTATATATATACATATATATATAGTGTGTGTGTGTATGTGTATGTCTGTGCACACTTTTGTCTTGGTATTTTTGTCTAACTGGTTTTGTTAGTTTGTTTTTGAAAAAGGTGGTATGGTAAGGTTTCTTTATCTCTGCTATGCAGACTACAGGCCTTTGACGAAAGGAAAACTATTGTTTCTGTATCATACCTGGGGATTTGTAGGCCTGGACTGCTCAGGTGAGGGCTTATGTAAGCTAGTGATAGTTCCATAACAACCCAAGTCAGTAGTACTAACACTCCCATCTTAATTTTCTTCATCGGAAGCTGTGGTAGTTTTTTATTTGTCTTCTGAGAATCTTGCTTCATAATTCACTTGCCTCTCAAATGGTAGATAATCCTTTTCCCATTTCCTTCCCAATTTTCAGCATTCCCTTCAATCCTCAAAACCTAATTTCACTAATTCTTTTCTGACTGCTCTGTAGAAGTTTCTGTTGGCATTGTGAGATGTGACCACTGTTCTTAGGAGTTCACAGTTTCATACAAACTATCATCTTTGATAATAAGAAACGCAAGAAGAGTGCAGCGGGAGCAGAAGGAGTGAAGTACATGGTCAAGTCCACAGTAAACGTGGGGGTAGTCTCTGCAGGGATTTCTGACAACAGTTTGTGCTCTCTACAGAGATCCAGACACATACATAAACAAGGTATAAAAATGTTGAAGTGAGGGGCTTGTGAGATGGGCGCAGCAATTAAGGGCAATAGTTGCTCTTCCAAAGGACCCAGGTTCCATTCCCAGCACTAACATAGCAGGTTGAAAGAGTCTGTAGCTCCAGTTCTCGGGATCTGATGTTTCCTTCTGTCCTCCACAGGCATCAGGTGTGCATGTGGTGCATAGACATACATGCAGCAAGGCACTACCCCACCAGTTAAGAAGTTAAGTGGTGAAAGCAGTTAGGGAGTGCCTGAGCTTTCAAGTAAGAGCATTAAAAAGTGTCATCTACTTTTATCACTTATAAAAGAAGAAAGTAAACGTAAGGTTGAATAAATCACTTTCAGAAACTGGAATGTAGCTGTACGGTCAGGTTTTTTTTCCCATTTTTCCTATGTACCTGTAAAAATGTACTGGCATTTGGGAAGATTGACTCAGTGAACATAATGCTGAATTTTGAGCTGAGAGGAAGGAAAAGGTAGTTTAATGGATTCTTACTACATACTGACATTATTTCGGTAATCCTTACAAGAGCTTTGTAAGACAAGTGTTATCATCCCCCATTTAAAAGTGAGGAAATAGTCTTAGTGGTTAAATAACTTACCTGGCTCACTCAGCAATTAGTAGAGCCTGAATTTTAATCCTAGAATTTTTTTCTCTCTCTGAAAGCTATGATTTTTAGCATTTCCTAACTTGCTGCTTATTACTGTTTTTATACAAAAGTTTATTTATAAGTCATTTTTCCATCTGTAAATTTGGCCTGAGCATACTAAAGCTTCTTCATTGAGTGTATATCTCTGATTAACTTAAAGTATGGTCTGGCTAATTGGGCAGAAAATAAAACATGCAGCCGGAGTGGTAATGTTTGGATTCTTACTGTGCATTTTTGAATCTGTTTTGAATTTACTTGCTTTATGTTAACAGTATTTTTGGCAATCAGTTTTAATGCCAGTCTTTATATTTTAGGCTGTACAGTGTCTTGAGACAGAAAGTCAATTGTATGTTTTCATGTAAAAACTATCATGTTGTTGTTTTACTGCTGCTGATTATGTGTGTCTTGTTATATGTAGGTTCTTTGTAGAATGTGCTGACACCAGAGTGTATTATCGTGTAGGCTACTTTCTGTAGCTTTTCTGTATTCTACTTTTCTATATTTCTGTAGCTTTCGTCCTGTCATAGAACATTGCT